AATCTTGCATAAGTGATGTATCTTGGGAAGTACCAGACCTGCTTCGGATGTTGCATGTTACTTAAATTTATAGGATAGTTTAACAAAGGTTTATGAGAAGGTTTCAGTCTAATTATTCATTTCCTAAACCTTAAACTTAGGAACTGCAGCCATGACATAAAGTAAGACAACACAGTGTTAAGTTTGGGCAGACATAACCATGATTTATTTGTTATGTAATGAAATGTAAAATACATTAGACATGTAAGTAATAATAATAATCAGTTGAATGAAATCATGGTTAACCTCTAACTAAGTTCTACACAGACTCACACTTTACTCTCATACAAAAAAAAAAAAAAAATCCGTGACTTTTCCCCTTTGCCAGTTCTCAGAAAAGTGACGCTTTCCTGGAAAGTTGAAGATAATTATTATGAAATTACGCCTTCTGATTGGCTAATTAATTTGTTTTTATTTAAAAATAACTAATTCAGGGCTCTGATTGGTTAAAAAGGTCCCTGTCGCCAGGGGGCGCCTGGTACTTGACCAGTGGCATTATTCCCTAGAGGGTCTCCCTCTATTGTCTTAATTTACGTAACTAGATGAATGCCCCCTAGGGGGTACCCCTCAATTGCTAACAGCCCCGGACTAATTGACCATTATTTAAAACCAAAAATGGCGTCAATAAAAACATTAAAAATAACACAAATAGAGACGTACAAACACATGAAGTTATGAATACATATAATAGTCATGGACCTTAACACAACAGAAACATATATAAACATGAAAAACGACTGTTACATGAGGGTAAAGTGCCTTAGACACACGAAGCATGAAAAGTATGTTACATAACATGAGAAGGCACGTTACATAAATTAATAACAGTTAAACACTGTTTAATAATATAATTTAAAAACTCTGCCAAGAACAAACTTAATCCTTCAAAGGATGCAGTATCAATAGAATTTAGCTCTGGATATTTGTATTTTTTTTATCTCCCCTTCAAAGCAGAGTGACATGCTGGGATCATTTTACCCTCCATCTGTCTGTCTGTCTGTCACACCTTATATCTTGAGTACTGTAAAAAATAATATATTTTGTACATATATCGATTGGTACTATGACTTTTGTAAATTATGATGGTTATCTACCTTTTGACCATTGAATGTGACCTTTGACCTACTTTTCAAAATAGTTCATAGTGCAAATTAATATACAGCATATTTTTTAGAAGTTAATGCTACCGGTAATTAGCTTGCTTGCTGTGCACAGTTTGTCAACTATTTTGCAAAATACCAGCATTACACTGTACTTTGAAACTGTATGAAACAGTTAATGTTAACACACAAACTGAATTTTATGATGAAAATAAATTTGGATTGGATTACCAATTTGAAAATAGATGGTTTTAGACTGACAGTTGCAGTACAGACAGACTAAAATCTCTTTTGGAAGATTGTTGGATTAAACACATTGAAAAACCAATAAATATTTGAAATTCATATTGATCCAATTTCATTATTCATTTTAGCTGTGGGGGGAGTGAATCATATTTCTGATTCTTTCAAAACCTTACTAATCCATTCTTTTTTTGCCAGCAAATGCACCAACAATAATGCTAGTAACACTTGTGTAATTTGCTACATTTATGCAGGCAAAACTAGCAGTTCTTGTGCAGTCTTGATGTAAATTCATGGGTAAGCTAGAGTAGAGAAATCCTCAAACATTAGTACCACGAATGATAATTCCACAAATATTGTATGCAAGAAAAAAGCTGATGATATTTCAAACAAAGCTTGTCTAATGACAAATCTAGCAGAATAATAAGTTATTGAACCCATTTGAATCAGATTCTGAACAGATAAAGTTCTACTTCTAATCAATTGCCCTGGAGAGCAAATCGTACCCATTCTGAAATAGGATTTTTTTTCCTTTATATTCTTCACGAATGTTTTTAGCTATTTTTGGTGTTCTGTACTAATTGATTTGAAAATAATAAAAGAACAAGAATTAATCATTTACCTGAGGGTTTGAATTCATGACGTATGATTCAAGACTTTCTTCATTGAAGTCTAGACTACCAATATATTCTTTTTAATATTAGATGGAAATTTCTCTGTGGAAAATAAGATTTTTTCAGGACTTGGGTGAAACACTCTTGTGGAATAATTGACTTAATGACAACGTCCCCATGGAAGTAGTTTATCAGATAAAGTTATAGTGCCGTAAATAACAGGATATTTCTTCATGCAGGAAAATTAATCATGTAAAATGTCACAAAGGGCTCTTTTACTCATAATTGCATGTGCATTTGATAAAGGGATTGGGCTAATGATGGTTCTGTTATAATGGAAAATAATGATATAAATTTATTGATTTTGGGTTTCAGTCATCAATTCTGTGCTGTTAACCTGAATGGCCTTGAATTAAAATTTTCTAAATTATAAAGTTTGAGAAAAATTGATATTTTCAAAATACAAGGAAAAAATATACAAAGATTGTATAATATTTGAGTCTCATCTTCTCAGCTTGCAGTTTATATTTTCTGATGGATACATTGATGATACATACATTTTGTGCATCTGTATGATCTTTCTCTAAGATTTTATATGCATGCTAGTAAATGCATGTCCATAATGCTACGTTTACACTATGTTCCCGGCAGCCACGGCAGCCCCGTTTGCCCGAAACGTAGTGCGCCGTGAGATTTTGGTTATTTTCCCCTCTATATCCAAGTCTTGACAAGTTCTTTTGCGGTCTTCTACGGTCTTCTACGGAATCCGTGATGGGCTGTAGGAAGAAGTTGCCGTGGAGTGCCGGAGGCTCCACGGTGCACTACGGTTCTGCCACGTATGCCAGCACGTTCCCCCCAGGCCTCTTACGTTCTGATAGGTCCCCTCTCGTTTCTCGCGTTCTTCTGAAGTTCTTATACGTTTCTCACGTTCTGTCAAGTCTTTCTACGTATGAAACATAGACGCCGGGAAACTATGGATCACGTTTGTACCAGAGAAGGTCTCCTAACCAGAAACAATCATTGTAGCATGACCCTTCGAAGATAAAACATCATGAATTCCCAAGACGAAGATTTTATTTTCGCGTGTTTGCTGGGTGCATACCTAAAATCACTTCGTCAAAATGAAGAGAACCAGCAGCAGTTACAGAGAGGGAAGGCAGGAGTGCAGCAACTAGGAATGAGACGAATAAGACGGATGAGAAGGCGGAGATCCATATGGATCCATAATGAAACTTCTCTGCAGTGCCCGGCTTTTATATGCTTCCTCTCAGACCGCGTGCGCCGTGTCAGACCGTAGTAGAACGTAACGCGCCGTAAACCGTAACATGCCGGGACGAACCGCGATTGAACGCGAGGAAACGGCTACCATACACCCTAGTTTGCCGTGAGGACCGTGATGAAACGTGGCAGAACGTGATAAAACGGACAACAACCGTGAACTAGCCGTGACAGAACGCGGGCTAAACTCAGCAAAGCGTCTCAAAACGTGAATGGACCGTGAGGTGACTGGAAATATACATTCTCCCGTCCCACTGCGGACTGCCTCCAAGTTCTGTTACGGTCTATTACGTGCTGTCGCGTTTTGTTGCGTTTATTCCGTTTTACTACGACCTACTAAGTTTCACATCTGCAACGTGGCCGCCGTGGCAAATTTTTTGACAGTTTAAAAATCTGGCACGGCATCCACGGCAATCGCGATGAGTTACGTTTGCCCATCCCGTTGCCCCAAGTTTTCTCACGCCCGTCCCGTTTTTTCCACGGTGGCCTGAAACGTGATTGCCGTGGCTGCCGGGAACATAGTGTAAACGTAGCATAAAAATCTGATCTAAAATGTAGCAATTTGATTGAAAATATAAGTTAAAATTTATCAGTTTTCAGCTAAAAATTTTATCTTGAACTTCATGTGTGTGTTATTAAGTATATGGTCACAGGGAGACATTTTATGTGTCTGGCAGCTTGGATTTTGTAGGGAATTATACTATGAATTTTAAATATAAAATTCTGTGATCCTGAGATAGATGTTCTGTCACAAACACCTGATTTTTGTTTTTGGTACATAATACTTGCTGCTGCAGTATATGTCAATATCGATACAATGTCCTTACAAATCAAGGGACAAATATAATAGATATACAGTGTATATTGGTACAGTCTCTGTATCATCTTACAAGATTAAATCTTTGCACCAGAAAACAGTAGGTTTATTATTGGTAAACAATCCTCAAAATAAACACTGAAATTAGTGTTCAGCCAAAGGGGCTGTTAAATGTTTAGTAAAATGAGCATCAAAGTGTCTATATATATATAATTATATAGATTCTATACTCATGTTTTACATGAAAACAAGATATTTTAAGAATTGTGTTTTCAAATCTCAGAAAGTGCTTTTAAGGAGGCTGGGGGAGTCAACAAATTAACCATCAGATATACCGTATAATCCCTATTAACCGCCCCTGCCCCTATAAGCGCCCCCTTGGTCTTTTTTCAATTATCAGAAAATAAGGGCCCCCTGTACAGTGATTAAAACCATCTAGAATCGTATCAAAAGTCTGCCAAAATTTGAAAAAAGTGAAAATGTAACTTGTCTATTATTCAATTTCTCGGTGGAAAATTAATCATATAGCATAATTTGGGTGGATTATCTTCACTTAAAGTTCTACATTATTTTAGTGGTTCTTTGAATTTTTTAAAGTTAAAAAATGACATCATATATTATAAAGAGAATACCAAAATAACCGCCCCCTTGTTTTGCAATTTTCTAAGTGACTGGGGCGTTTAATAGGGATTACAAGGTAACTTAATTTTTAAGAAAATGATATCTTATGCTGTCAATTTTCATTTGGCAAAGAAAAATTTCATACAATTTAGTTTTAAAATTTGAATCATTTTTGTTTATCTAATATATGGAGCTCTTCTTCTAAAGGAGATCAATATAATCTGAAAATGGCCACAACCACCCAGCCCTCTTAAGAAAATGTCGACAAAAATAAATTAGGCATCACTTAAAAAATATTGTTTATTCAATGACGATAAGTTTCAAATCAACATTCAATGAAGTAATGACGATGATAATTCAATGAAGTATACATAATGGCCATGAAAACAAAACAAAAACATTAAAGCTCAAAAATATAAAAAGTAAACTTTCACTTCATTTGAAGATATCTTAACCCTAAGTAAAGTTTGGGATTCCTTACTTGTAACTTGCTAAAGAGGTGTTGTTTCGTTACAAGAGTCCGTTTCATTAAGATAGGTACTTTGGGACCCAGATTGAAGTTCATAGATCCTCCTACGATGTCTACAACAAATTGAGCACAACATATCCCACAATTCCAAACGGAATGTCCGAGAGAAAGATAAACACGTGAAAAAGATGAGAGTGGTGTTAAGCCAAGCCATGTAGTGAGCAATAAATCGGGCCTTGGTCAATTGTATCATGAGTTCTTGGTCGTGTAGCCATGATGGTGGGTAGGTCATGTCCACCACATTGATAATAGTCGCTGGCATCACAAGAAGAAAGTAGAACATGGAGGTGCCCAGTGTTGTGTATGTAAAAAGCAGGGAGTGATGCTCCTGGGTCTGATGAGCTTTGAAAGGTCTTTTCAAGCAAATTCCAGTGAAAATCAACACATTGAAGATAAAGATCAGAGCTAGAGGAATATAGGAGTAGAAGCTGGCGGCCACCCAGGGCCAGATCAAGGAATGGATGTCGTTTTCTCTGTGGTATGGATAACAACCAGAGTTGTGCATGAGTTCAAAAGTCCACATGGCATGAATACTTATGACCACTAGACCAACAAAAATGATGATGGCGACAAACTTGGCCATGAAGATTGTGCACAGGGAAGAGAACTGTTTAGGATGCCATATTACTACAAAGCGGTCAATCATCATGGCCACCACAAACCAGATTCCTGAATAGGAAATGACTCTGCTGATGAATTGCCACACACGACACAACCAGTCGGCTTTTTCATCCAAAGATTTTTGGTTAAAGATTTTAGTGATCCATTCTGTTCCCAGAAAGAGGTACAGCATCAGCAGTGAGCTGCAGGCGTAAGCTGTTATGTAAAAACTTATGGAACACTGGCGGATGTTTTTCCTTTTCATTACAAAGATGGTCAGACAGTTACTTACAGTTCCTAGGGTGATGAGAACAGGTGGAAGATACACCTGAAACAGGAGCTCCAACAATTTCAACTCTGATTCCACACTTGAAACCCTTGGTTGGTAGTTCTGTTCAGATGATGTCATTTGAACCTCGGAGGATGTCATATTGGGAATTTTCGAAGAATTCGTCATCTTCATTCTCGAAGTTAAACAAACTTCTTTTCTTCTGAGCTTCTTTTTTGATGAACTTTTTTTCCTAATTCTTTTTTTCTCAGGAATTTTCAGTGCTCACTCACCAAATTATGGACCACAGATTAATCACGGCCTGTATTGATTTCATAACTACATTGTCATTTCTTCCACAGGGCACTCTGATCAGTGGAGATTGCCTGTCTTTAATTTAGCGACCTTTTTTCTGGCAAGGAAAGAATAAAGGTTTAAGTAAATAAATCTATTTAAAGCAAAATAACACTATTAACAAGGATGCAGACGCAAATTGTTAATCGTCTTCTGCTTTCTTGTAATGCATGCTGATAGAAATTTTGAAAGAGAAAAATTGATTTAGGGATGGTGATAATTTTGCATTTAGAATGTCACTTGATTACCCACCTGTTTTAGATTCCAGCCTTCGTTTTTCAGTGTCTTTCATTGAGATGTTTTCTCCATTTTACTGCATCCAGCACCGGATATCTAGTGGCAATAGTTCAATTAAACAAGCTGAATTAATCCCTTTTATAGCTCCCTGAATTGCGATGCTGTAGATTAGATCCCTCTATACCTGTAAGCAATGTCTGCAACTATTTTAGAATATATGGGTTTTTCGGGTTTTCTTTTTTTACTGCCTCTGTAACATGTGAAATAAATTTCGAACGAAAATAAATAAAATGTTGCTTTCTTGTTGTAAATGTTTCCACCAGTTGTAGACCAGTTTTAATACCCTCGTACGTCAAGTCTTTCGGTGCGTAAAACGCTGAATTTTAGTTGCTGCTGATGTCAGAAGAGGAGTAGATTCAATAAAATATGTACTTGAGTCATGTCTTGCAAAAGTTACGATGTAGGGAAGGGTCGTAAAAAATAATTTCCTTCATTAAATAAGCTGTGTTAGTTGTCACTAAAATCTCTTTAGGTTAGCATTGGGTGGTAATTGTATAATCGGCTTCCTTTGTGTTTAAGGCACCTGTAGTTTTTTTTTGTGTCGTTAGATAATTGCAATCACAGTTAATATTTTAACACGTCACAAGAGATTGCAGAACTCCTTGAAATTAAGCTGCGAAGATTAAGCTTTTGAAAATACCATTAATTCCTTGTCAATTGAAAGAATTTTTTTTCACAAGTTGAGAAATTAATAAAATTTCTGAGATGTGCATTGCAATGACAGCAGCACCAAGATTGCTTCTCCATTGAATGACATTTGCTGTGAGAGATCAGATTTTATAATTGATCGTTGGCTGCCTTGAAAGAGCTTGGGAGTATTTACTAACCATTGATTGACAGGTGTTCCAGTGTTAACTTAGGAAGCATAGTGTGTAAAAATCAAAGTTACCTCCCCTTTTGGGCACTCTCCTCTGTCAAGAAAGTAGAATTGGTAGGTGGTACTTGTTAAGAGAATTTTTTTTTTCTATATTGCAGCCTTCGTACCTTAATGCTTGTACAGATTAATTTTTTTCCTTTTATCTGTGATCAATATGTCAGTTTGATTTATTGTGACGGAAAAAGGGATTACACGAAATGCTGTATTAACTAGTATAATTATGGCAAAAAACCAAGGTGTGAAATATGACATTTTAATGTGTTTTTCTCAATAATAATAATAAGATTTATTTCTCTAAGAACACACATCAGGGTTCCGAAGTTAAAATAATTCCATGTTACTTGACAATTATGTAGTACTTTATATGAAATATGAATGTGTTCCTGGCCAGATTAAGGGATTTAGTTAAAAGACAGATAAGAATAGCATGCAGTTTTATGAATGCTTCGAATAACAAATAATTTATTTTCAAACATTAAACTGTCAGAATGTATTACAAAACCAAGTTTGATGTTGTTTTGGTATTCTACCAAAAGATACATCAAACATGTTGTTCGTTTTCTTTTGTAATTTTACTGCTTTTTTCATCGACTTTAAATCAGGCTTCCTGAAGACAAGTAATTTCTCCTTTTTATAACCTAGTACGTTTGCTCTGTGGGAGTTTGTTGGAAATTCATTACCGTTTTGTATTGTTTCAAAGTAATCTGCTCAGCATGAAACTTTGTCTAAAGCTATAAAATGAAGATAAAACGGGGTATCTTTCTTCCACTCTTGTTAAAGTTCCACTAAACTTGATCTCCTTTCTCTTTTCTGTTTCAAAGCAATTTATTAAGAATACTTTCTATTTCTGGCTTGAAAAGTGGGGGTATATATATAGTGATAAAGGTTTACCTCAATATGTGTACATCCTATCATCCATAAATCCTTTGAACTTTGATGATGGTTATAATCCATCTCTTATCTGTTACATATGTCTTTTACTATGGAGTATAATTTAATGACTTTCACAGATTGTTTATAACAAAGTACCAATGTGTGCCTCATATCTTGAGTTCTGATCAGGCAGATATTTGAAATCTCCCATAACAGATTAAAGACAATTAATTGCCATTTTTTTTCTATAAGTAAGTTAAAAGGTGGGGGGGGGGTATATCTACATAACATAATTATGATTTATATATGATTGAAAATTGTATATGATGGATTGATGCTGGAAGCCATGCAGCTTTTTAGAGCCTGGGCCATTAAATAATTTTGCAAATCTAAATTATGTTGTAAAATTTTAATAAGCAGTTCTTTCAAATTATGTATTTGCACATTTTTGTAGCAGAGGTTGTGTTGTACACAGCAACTTGAAAAATAAAATCATATTCTAATGCAATTGTTTTGTAAAACACTTTTTCATTGGCTAATGCACTGATGTTTGAAGCAGTAAAATGAGCATTAACGAGCGTGAAAGCTTTTTCATTGTGATGTCATAATAGAGCGACGCAAAAACACAATGCTCCGTGACGTGTTTCATGTAACAAAATTCAACAAAACAACACGTAAACAACAAACAAAATGCATGGATTGCATTAGAATGGGGATAACTAATCTTCTAATTTGGTATTTGCGACCGTTAATGCTGATTTAACGGTCGCAAACATCCTTTTTACCGGCTCCGCTTACGCGTCGCCGGTAAAACTCAGTTTGCGACCGTTAAATCAGCATTAACGGTCGCAAATACCAAATTAGGAGATAGTTATTCCCTAAATTTGGCCTTTTTTGAACAAATTAATATTTAGGATTTGTGAATAATGATGCAATAGTGAATTAATAATGCATTGACTAGCAAGAGAATGAGTTATTTTTAGTAGATATTTGCACACAAAAGGTTCAATTGATATTTATTGCCTTGTAGACTAAAAGTATGCAGTTTTGATTTTCAGAATTCAGATATTAAGAGATCCTGAAAGCACCCTAAGTGGCCCTTGTTCTTTAAATCTTGATAATAAAAAATATACAGGTGAGCATTGTGTCCTGCGCACATCAATATGTTATAAAACAGCATAATATATGAAAAGTAAAAAATATAAATGGATAAGCTGATGATGCTTTATCATTGGCATCGTGTCATTAATAGGTATGGTCTTCTCTAATGTCCTATAAGTCAAATGAGTCAGTCAATTAGCAGGCCAAAAAAGCTCTTTGTAATATACCAGTAATTAGCTAAATCAAGTCAATGTAATGGGCCTGAACACCATTGTCATTACCTGTTCTCTCTGCCTTTGTCTTGTTTCATCTAGAATTTGATGGAGACTGACAGTGTGTCATTTTGTTCCTGAGCAAAGCCATTTAGGCTGTGTGGTGAATATCTATCTTGTTAGAGTCATCATAAGCTGCACCCAGTCACTTCAGATGAAACCAAGGATTTTTGTTTAATGGAGACTGGGAGATTCCGTTTGTTGTCTGACTGATTATGTTACATATGGCTCGTCATTAGGTGATGAACTGGAATGACCTTTGTGAAGAAAGAAATAAGGTTTATGGCTTTTTATGTCTTGTTTTGAGGGTTGGATTGGAAGATGGGGATGGGGGAGGATGGTCAACCTCAGTTTGTATGTGCTGTTGAGAATGGTACCAAGAGATGATGACCTCTCTTCAAAAACAGGTGGAAAAAAATTTACTTTGTCAGAAAACTTCAAGAAACAAACATCAAGATAAACAAAGTCTAAAAAAAAAATTACAGATTGTTAGGCTATTGTATTAACTTGAAGTTAATTTTTTATTCATTTTTATATAAGATTATATAATATTGTGTGAACCGAATACATTTAAGACTTTTTCTGAATTATATAGCTGTGAAATCATGAAAAATGAATTGCATTTTTCATGCCTATCCTTCATTTCTCTGTTTATTTGCTTTGTAATATTTTGTCTCTTGTTTTAAAACAATTTTAAGGATCCTCTTTCTTCTAAATAAGTGCACACCTAGGTACATGGCATTTCAATCACACCAAACATTTCCATACATCATTTTCATGACAATGACCTTAATCATGGAATAACTACGGGTAATTTCTAAAATGGAATTTGCGACCATTAATGTTGATCAGACAATCAAATGTCAGTAGTCAATACTGTAAACCAACTTTTAATTGTGTGCAAGAAATTTTCGAGTTTGCAACAGCCTCTTCATCGCGAATATTTCTCACCGCCAACCAATACTTAAAGTCTTTCTGTCCATTTACAACAGATCGAAAAAGGCCTGATTGCAAAACTTAATTGTCGCCAACTAGTTTACCCCTGGTAAATCGTGAAATAAAGTCGTCGCGAATAAAAGTTGGTTTACAGTAGTTTATTCTCCTTAACTGTAACAACAGTGTAGAGAAGATACAAACATCGCAACATGAAGGATGCATAAGTGGAGCTGCATGGTAAAATGGATGTTTGCAACCATTAAATATGGGCAGTAATGGTCGCAAATACTGCATTAGAAGATAGTTTTTGCCCATTTTAATGCATCCTATGCATTTTGTTTGATGTTTACGTCTTATTTTGTTTAGTTTTGTTATAAAAAATATGTCATGGAGTGTTGTTGTTTTGCGTTTGAAAATAACTCTATAAAGACATCACAATAATTATTACTGGCATTAATACTGGTTTTATTGCCCTAAACATTGGTACAGTAGGCTATGAAAAGGTGTTTTACACTTAAAAGGAGTTATTCAAAGCATGAACTCTGTGCACAATTTAGCTGTATGGATTTATGGACTTTTTATCTTGAATACTGTTTGTTATCTCCTTATGTTTCATATGAAACATCTCCTTATGTTTCATATAAAACCGGGGGGGTGGGGGGGGGGTGGGTTATCTAAATGGTTAAGTCTAATTCCATTTTTTTTTTGACATTTAAGTCTGATACTCAATAATCAGCAAAGAATGTGTGGACTTAACTGGCCAGAAAAAAGGCTGTAAATTAAAGTTTTATAAAATGTTAGTTTTTTTCCCATCATATAAACCCGTGTATTCTTGATACAGATGTGAATTTAAAATGCTCTATTATTGGTAAACTAAATAAACATCGAAGGCATGGTGTCTGAAGATTTCTTGAATATCGATAGATAATCAGGTTCACAAGTTTTTCATCATCTGAATACATAGTCAGTGCATGTTTGTTGGCTGTTCTTAAGAAAACTGTAGTTGTATATTGAACAAAATAATGCCATATTAAAAGGAGAAGAGCCAACAAACGTGCGCTCATACTTAATTTTACAAAAAACATGTTCAAAACAAACTTCTTGCTTCCATTATAATACTTAAGGACTGCGATTGACCTGTTAAATATTACAATTCATCACGTGATGTCCACCTGCAAGTGTACTCATGAAAACAGTTACATTGTATTCTTCAACCTGACCTTGATCTAAATCACGTCTTTTGGCGTATTTGGTTGCCGTTTTCAGAATTTAGCAAATAAAATGTTATTTTAATTTTGCGTGCTCTCACATTTAAAAAAAGATTCATATGACATTGCTGTAATATGCCAAACATGTATTCGAATTTTTGGAGAGAGAGAGGAATAGAGAGAAAGAGATGTCAAAAATGACGCCAATCAATAGCCCCGCCTTCTATTAATATTGATTACGTGACATAAAAACCTCTCCAGGTACATGTCAAATGCCGGCTTCAATTGCTTCAATTTTGATTCATTTCAACAGGGTATTGTTTTTGTACAAATGCTCCACCTAATATAACCAAGTATACGTAGCTCTTTCCATTGCTTGTGATATATTTTGGATTCACTTCATTTACAGCTTGGTAAAGGAGTTGCAAAAAGATCCAAAATAGGGCGATAAGTCCATCCTTCTTTCATTTTGTAATGAATTGTTAAAATATTGAAGGCATTGAACTTCACCTAATAACTGCATCAGAGTTTGTCTGAACAAAGCTTCTAAGCTAATTACAATAGGATAGAGAATTACCTAATACAATATCAAGTTTCATATTCATGTCTACCTACATATATATAAGTTGTCTAGATGTTATCCTGTAATAATTACAACAATTTCAATGAACTTTGGTACTTATGTAACCAAAAGTCTCTGATGACACTGTAGCTCTACTGGTCTGTACGTGTAACAAAGGAAAAGTAGCACTTGGATTTGAAACTTTGCAACAGGCAGCGATAAATAGAATTATGTATCTTAGTGTAGTCTACCTGTGTGCCAAATTTTATTAAAATCAGACCAAAATTGTTGGAGTAGCCTTTGAAAGGAATTTCACAGAAATTTCTATTTTTAGTAACCATGGCAACACCATTCATCAAAACCAAAAACCGATGCACTAGTTTATGTTTCTTAGTGTATTCTACTTGTGTACTAAGTTATATTGAATAAAGACCAAAACTGTCGAAGGAGTAGCTAATTTCTCAAAAATTTCTATTTTAAGTAACCATGACAACACCGTTCATCAAAATCAAAAACTGATGCACTAGTTTATTTATCTTGTTTAGTCTACTTGTGTGCCAAGTTATATTGAAATCAGACCAAAACTGTAGGAGGAGTAGCGTTTTAAAGGAATTTCTCAAAAATTTCTATTTTTAGTAACCATGGCAACACCGTTCATCAAAATTGAAAACCGCTGCAGTAGTTTATGTATCTTAGTGTATTCTACTTACAAAAAACTAAATTCTAGATTCCCAGGGTCAAGGTTCCAGAGTAAGAGTTAATATGGTTGTTATTCTGGATAACCAGTAGACAAACTGTTTGCATGATAATATAACACAATTATCACAGACTATATACCGTATTTGGCCGAGTATAATACGCATTGATGTAAAATATGCACCCCCCTTTTTGAGTCTGAAACTGGGGAAAAAAACGCAGTTCGGATGTATTATACACAACCGAAAAATTTACCAAGCAATGTTCTGAACTTTGAAAATTGAGGTAATTTGTTATGAAAATCGGCGCGAAGATTAAGTGTCAAAATTTTACAGAACACACTTTTTAGCTCACCTGAGCCGAAGGCTCAAGTGAGCTTTTCTGATCACATTTTGTCCGTCGTCCGTCCGTCTGTAAACTTTTCACATTTTCGACTTCTTCTCAAGAACCACTGGGTCAATTTTGATCAAACTTGGTACAAATCATCCTTAGGTGAAGGGAAATTTAAATTGTTAAAATGAAGGGCCAAGTCTCCTCACAAGGGGAGATAATCAAGAAAAGACAAAAATAGGGTGGGGTCATTAAAAAATCTTCTTCTCAAGAACCACTTGGCCAGAAAAGCTGAAACTTAAGTGGAAGCATCCCGGGGTAGTGTAGATTCTAAATTGTTAAAATCATGACCCCCGGGGGTTGGGCGGGGCCACAATGGGGAATCAAAGTTTTACATAGGAATATATAGGGAAAATCTTTAAAAATCTTCTCAAGAACCACTGGGCCAGAAAAGCTGAAAATTATGTGGAAGCATCCTGGGGGTAGTGTAGATTCTTAATTGTTAAAATAATGACCCCCCCCCCCCCCCTGGGTTGGGCGGGGCCACAATGGGGAATCAAAGTTTTACATAGAAATATATAGGAAAAATCTTTACAAATCTTCTTCTCAAGAACCACTGGGCCAGAAAAGCTGAAAATTATGTGGAAGCATCCTGGGGTAGTGTAGATTTTAAATTGTTCAAATCATGACCCCCAGGGGTTGGGCGGGGCCACAATGGGGAATCAAATTTTTACATAGAAATTATATAGGAAAAATCTTTACAAATCTTCTTCTCAAGAACCACTGGGCCAGAAAAGCTGAAACTTATGTGGAAGCATCCTGGGGTAGTGTAGATTCTTAATTGTTAAAATCATGACCTCCGGATGTTGGACGGGGCCACAATGGGGAATCAAAGTTTTACATAGAAATATATAGGAAAAATCTTTGAAAATCTTCTTCTCAAGAACCACCGGGCCAGAAAAGCTGAATCTTATGAGGAAGTATCCCAGGGTAGTGTAGATTCCAAATTGTTAAAATCATGACCCCAAGGGTTTGGGCGGGGCCACAATGGGGAATCAAAGTATTACATAGAAATATATAGAAAAAAATCTTTGAAAATCTTCTTCTCAAGAACCACTGGGCCAGAAAAGCTGAAACTTATGTGGAAGCGTCTTGGGGTAGTGTAGATTCTAAATTGTTCTAATCATGACCCCCGGGGGTAGGGTGGGGCCACAATGGGGAATCAAAGATTTACAATGGGGAATCAAAGCATCCTTTGGTAGTATAGATTTCAGATTGTCTAAATTATGATCAGTGGGGTAGGGTGGGGTCACAATATGTATTACAAGGGGGAAATCTGGTAAAGAACGGAATGGTGGAAGCTTCTCAGGTGAGCGATGTGGCCCATGGGCCTCTTGTTTTAAATACATTTATAATTTTCTCTTATTCCTGAATTTCCACATCGCGGCAAACTTAAAGAAAATTATTTATTCCAATAAAGCACAAAATAATGTTGCGTAAAAGTATTAAAAGAGTTTATCATTTTTAGCTCAC